TGAGTCACTTGTTCTTTAAAGCCATATCAATTCTTTATTGGCTTTTGTCACTGCTACATACTCAGTCTCTGTAGTGGATAAAGCAACAATTTTTTGTATTCGCGACAGCTAACTAACAGTTGTAGTACCAACCTTGAAAACATAACTGGTGGTGCTTCTTCGGTGATCAACTTCACCTCCAAAGTCAGCATCTACGTAGCCCTGTAATCGTAGATTTCCTTTTCCAAAACACAGACATTTTTTTATTGTTCCTCGTAGATATCTCATAATCCACTTGACGGCTTCTCAGTGAGTCTTTCCTGGATTTGCCATAAACCTGCTCACAACTCCCACTGCATGGCCAATGTCTGGCCTTGTACAGACCATTGCGTACATCAAACTTCCAATGGTTGAAGCATACGGAACCTTAGCCATAATTTCTTCTTCTTCCTTTGTTTGAGGAGACTGATCCTTGGATAGACGAAAATGACTGGTCAAAGGTGTACTTACTGGTTTGGCCTTGTCCATGTTAAATCTTTGCAAAACACGGTTGATGTACTCCTCTTGAGATAACTGCAAAACTCCTTTTTGCTTATCTCTCGTGATTTGCATTCCAAGAATCTTCTTTGTTGGTCCTAAGTCCTTCATGTCAAATTCCTTTGACAACTGCATATTTAAATTTCTGATATCCCTCATATTTGAACCTGCTACTAACATGTCATCAACATAAAGTAGCAATATGATATAACTGGACTTATACCTCTTGAAGAAACAACAGTGATCGGCATTGCACTTCTGGAAACCTTCCTTGTGCATGAAGCTTTCAAACTTCCTGTACCACTGTCTTGGAGCTTGTTTCAAACCGTACAAGCTCTTCCTCAATTTGCACACCATATCCTTCTTTCCTTCTGAAAATCCTTCAGGTTGGTGCATGTAGATCTCTTCATCTAAGTCTCCGTGGAGAAATGCAGTCTTCACATCTAATTGCTCTAGGTAGAGCTCTTCACTAGCCACAATACTTAACACTATTCTGATAGTATTGAGCTTTACGATTGGAGCAAAGATTTCAATGTAGTCAACTCCTTCTTTTTGCTGAAATTCTTTGACAACTAGTCGGACTTTGTATCTCTTGGAACTGTCATGGTCTTCCTTCACCCGATACACCCATTTGTTGTGAAGTGTTTTCTTCCCCACGGGTAACTTGACTAGTTCCCATGTCTGATTGGAGATCAGAGACTCCATCTCTTCTTTCATGGCAAGCTCCCACTTGCTAGCATCTGTGGTTTGAAAAGCTTCTATATAATCTTCGGGCTCCCCTCCATCAGTCAGCAACATGTAGTCCGTGTATCTCCTGTTTGGCACATGAGGTCTAAAGGACCTTCTCAATACAGGAGTTGGAGTAAGAGGTTCTGGTTGCACATCACCTTCTTCAATTGATTCATCTAATTGAGGACTCCTCACTATAGGATTTTCTGGGACATCTTCCACTTCTGCAAAAATTGACCCACTCGATTCTGAATTGCTAATACATGTTTTATGCATGTCCTTGTACAACACTCTTTCATTGAAGATTACATCTCTACTGCGGATCATCTTTTTGTTTTCATCATCCCATATGCAGTAGCCATACTCATCTTCACCATAACCAATGAAAGTGCACTTCTTTGATTTTGGGTCAAGTTTGTTTCTACCTTGATCACTGATATGGACATATGCTACACAGCCGAAAACTCTAAGATGTGAGAGTTTTACCTCTTTTTCGCTCCATACCTCTTCTGGTATTCCGTGCTCCAATGGTACTGATGGACTTCGGTTGATCAAGTAAGCTGCTGTGTTGACTGCTTCTGCCCAGAACTGTTTTGGTAAGCCTGACTGTACACGCAAGCTTCTGGCTCTTTCAGTCAACGTTTGATTCATACGCTCAACTACACCATTGTGTTGAGGCGTACCAGGCACGGTCCTCTCCATTCTGATCCCATGCTCATAGCAAAACTTCTTGAATCTGGTGTCTACATATTCACCACCATTGTTGGATCTGAGCTTCTTAATCTTCAATCATGTTTCATTTTCTACCATAGCTTTCCAAATCTTGAAAGCTTCAAATACTTCTGACTTGTGTTTCAGAAAGTAAACCCATACCTTTCTGGAGTGATCATCGATAAACGTCACGAAGTATTGCTTCCCACCAACAGATGGGACAGTCGTTGGACCCCAAACATCAGAGTGGACAAGCTCAAGTCTCTCTTTCTTTGGAGTTCTTCTATTTGTCTGAAAGTTAACTCTCTTCTGCTTTCCAAGTATGCAGTCTTCACACATGTCAATATCTACTGATTGAAGACCTGGTAGTTTTCCTTTTGAGTGCATGATCTTCATCCCTTTCTCACTCATATGCCCAAGTCTTTGGTGCCATAGATTGGGATTTTCATTTGCTGCAACTGCAATCAAATGGCATGCTCCTGCAGTCTTGTAAAGAGTACCACTCTTTTTGCCTTGAGCAATTGTCATCGCACCCTTTGAGATCTTCCAATCATCACCGTGGAAGATTATTGTGTAACCTTTACTGGCTAACTGACTCACTGAGATTAAGTTCTTTGTCAGGTCGGGAATATGTCTGACATTTTCCAATTCTCATACAGACCCGTTCAACTTAGTTTTTACTGTACCTTTACCTACAATCTCACATGATTGCTCATTACCAAGGTAAACTTTACCGAGATTTCCGGGAACATAATTCTCGAACAGTTGCTTTTGTGAGGTAGCATGGAAAGATGCTCCAGAGTCTAACACCCAAGACTCATCCTTGCTTTTTAAAGAGCATATCAACACATCATCTTTCCCGGAGGTAGAGGCAACGTTTGCCTCGTCCTTCACTTCTTGATTCTTTCGTACATTCTTGCACTGATTTTTGTAATGTCCGGTCTTCCCACAATTCCAACACTCGATTTGCTTCGAGTTTTGGAAACTACGATGATTTCTGGACTTGGATCGTTTGCCCATTGATTTTCCGCGTCCGCTTTCTTTGGTTGAACTTCTTCCTCTTGACTTTGTATGCAATATTGAAGAGGTTGATGATTCACTCGACTCCCTCCGCCGGATCTCTTCACTGAGAACCAAATTACGAATATCATCAAATTTTAACTTATTGTTTCCCAATGAACTACTCACAGCTGTGACAGTAGTATTCTAACTTTCTAGTAGAGAAGACAAAAGTATCAAAGCTCGTACTTCATCATCGAACTCGATCCCAACTGAACTCAACTAAGTTGTAACAGTATTGAGTTCATTGATATGTTGCGCCATTGGAGCGCTTTCAGACATCCGTAGATTGAACAACCGCCTCATCAAATGAACTTTGTTTGAGGTTGATGGTTTCTCGTACATACTGGAAAGAGTATCCATAAGACCTGCTATCGTCTTTTCTTTTGCAATGTTAAAAGCAACATTACGGGATAACGTCAGTCGAATGGCTCCAAGGGTCTTTCTGTCGAGAAGAGTTCATTCCTCCTCTTTCATACCCTCTGGTTTCTTTCCTATGAGTGGTTCGTACATATCCTTCTGATACAGGTAATCATCGATCTGCATCTTCCAGAACCCAAAGTTTGCACCATCGAACTTCTCGATTTTCACCTTTCCTTCATCTGCAGCCATCACTCCAACTCGGATCTGACTTTTCTGGATTATTTCTGATAATTTCTATGAACTACCGTATTTCGAAACACGTCTGTAGATAATTTTGTAGCACCGACAAAATTTTTACTATTCACGTTTTTACTATTCACAAAATAGTAAATTCACTATTCATATAAATAGTGTCACCACAAAAATTGCATAGTTAACAACCAGCTTTGATACCAGTTGTTAGGAAAAATACACAGAACTTTTCCATGTAGTCAGATCTGTCAAAGTGAAATAAAAATGAAATAAAGACGGAATAATTAGACACACCAATTGATAATGGAGTTCGGCCAAAATTGTCTACGTCTTTGGACTACTGCAGATATTTTACTGGGAGAAAAGAAAATATACAGGTGTTTACAAAGCACTCTCAAAACACTCGCAACCCTCAACCCAATTACACCCAAAAGCTAGATTATTTTCTTTCTGTTTCTTGCTGGCTAACTCTTGTCATGGTTGCTTTGGAATTGGATGATGGAAATGAGTGAAGTGAAAGAGCATTTTATAGCAAAAGAAATGGTTCTTATGCATTTAAGGCTTTCCTTTTTTTTTTTATTGTCTCCAACTACTTGTCAACCAACCACTTGTCACTTTTTTTTTTTACTTTTCAAACACCAACAAAAAGGGGAAAGAAAATGAAAAGAAACGTCCAAGAAATTGCATGTGAGAAAGAGAGAAGTATTTTTCTTCGTTTTATGTCAATGTTTTTAATGAAAAAATTTGATCAAGGAAACTCAGATCAAATTAAAATAGCAGTAAAATCTGAAGACTAACTCAAATTTATTTCATATTGTGTAAATAATGTACAACTTTTTTCTATATGAAATATGAAAGAGAAAAACATTAAAAAAAATACAATAAACTACTTAATTTAACTTATAATGTTTAAGAAAAGAGTTGTGATTTGTGATTGTACAAAACTTAATTCTATTATTTTAAATTGTCACACATTTTTTTCATGAATTAAGGTTGGAGTCCAAATATAAGTTGCGTGAACGAAAAAAAAAATTTATAAATAAAAATATTATAATTTAATTTTTTAAAATTTATATTAAAAATATTATATTATTTTATATAATATTACCTAATTTTTATTATTTCATTTAATAACGATAATATCTAAATTTATATTTATGATGATAATATTGTTATGTTAAATTTTTATATTCGATATATTATTAATATTATAATTATGAGAAATTATAGTTTAAAAGTGAATAAGTAAAAATTAATTTTAATAATATTATCAAAAATTCTAAGAGAATCATGGCTTGCAGGGTTCGTGCTTAAAACTCCAACATTATTCTCTGGTTATTGTTCAAGTTCATGGAATCTAAGATAAATACCGTCTGCAGTTGATTGTGACCTAAGTTCACGGAATCAATGATATAAACATCCTCTTCAATTGACCATAAAACTCTGTCATTGTTTTCCATGTTGTCGTAACCCAAGTTCACGAAATCAAAGACATAAACACCATCATCCTCAGTTGATCTTAAAACTCCACTATTCGCGTTGTTGTTGCTGCTTGACCCAAATCCATAAAATCAATTAATTACACAAGCATCATCTATAATTGACCACTGCATCTCTACTGAGAAGACAAACCAAATGAGAATTAATTAAGAAACAAACAGATAAAATAATTTGTCGAATGTCATAATTCGGCGACAGAGTAAAATATCTTGCTTGAGTTTTTACAAAAATTGTCATAACATGAATCAAAGAAATTGCAAAATTGATGACAGCGCATGAAACGAAAGACAAGACAGAATCACGCGACAACAAGGATTAGAAACATCGTTCATAGCAAATATATGACCGGATTCCTAACCAGAACACTACCCATTAATGAAACGTGTCTCTTGTTTTGTCAACAGACAAGCCAATTTTATCTAAGACGACAAATTTCCATTCTATATTTTGTTATGATTTGCCATTACATACTGATTTAAAATAAGCCACTTTCTAAAATCATATACGCAAGTAAAATGTGCATGACCTAACCTAAAATAATCAAACGTTCTAATTATTAGAAATCAAACATAAGATAAGCTTTATATTCTTAATTCCTGGGCCTTGAACTAACTCACATTAACATCCAGATAAAAATCTGTACACACATGATGAAGTAAAAAACAAAATTGTTGTATGTGGAAACAAACAGTTCCTTAATCAGAATTGATGAAAGTGTTTGAACTCTTCAAATAAACAGTTTTAAATATTCAAACACACTATTGGGAATCCTCAAACATAACGCACACTATAATCGATCAAACAGTTTCCCACTAATGGAATATCTAGAGCAGAGCTTCAGATCACACGAAAGCCGTAATTTTTCTTGTCATATGTGGGTTTTGGCTGGGTAAACTATTATTTAATTTAACATTAATAATTTAAGGTCATTTTATATCTCGGACTGGTTCTGCTCATTTCTTTGTATTCTCTGAAATATAAACGTGGACCCAATTTAAACCTGAGTTTTTCAAGTGCTATCAGAACTTTGAGAAAGTGTCCATGTCCACTGTGGTCCTTCAAAGATATATGTGGCATCACATCAGTTGTTCACTTATATTTACATCAAATTAGTCCTCCAAAATATGACATAAATTTTGTCTGTCAGCGTCATGTTTTTGTTGTCAATTTGGTTTTTGAAGGATGAAAATGATGACATTAGTTCTCGTTCAATGGACAATTTGATGCCACTAGTAATAAATAGAAGGATTAATGGATTAAACATCCATCAATATTGTGCCAACATTATTTGTAGTTGTGTTGAGTGGTGAAAACAGTAAGAATTTGCGTGCAATGTAATGTTTGCCGTTGCGGACAAAATCAAGAGGAGGTGAATTGATTTCTTATAAAAAATTATAATTTTAAAATTTTTTCCAAATTTCACCAATTAAAATACTTGTAAAGTAAAAAGAGAAAGGATAAGAAGATTATACAAGTGTTTTATACTTATTTGGATCAAAAGATCTTACATCCAATTGCTAATCACTCTAAAAGAGGATTAACGCTGTCACTATAATCACAGTTCAAACAAATTACAAATAAAAAGATAAATATTAGAAAACATCTCTTTTGAGTCATACAAGAGATGAGCAACTCCTTTGAAATTCACAAAAGATGAACAACAGTTTTTCCTAGAGACGACACAACACACAATCCACCAAGAGTCTCACTCAGTGATTCTTATCGCTTCTAACTCACACTATGTTTCAAAAGCCATTTTTTCTTCCCTACACAAAGTTTTCTAGCAATCACAGCTCTTAACTTTTGTATGAAAAATGTTTGTTGTTTTACAGAGAGCCTTAGAGAATCTTAAGTAGAGAGATTTAAGGTATGAGGAATAGAAGTTTTCAAAAATAGAAGTATTGGAAATAAGTGTTTCAAAAATTGGTCCATAATTCGAAATTCAAAATCATAACAGACGTAGATAATTGATTATCTTAAGTGATAATCGATTATCACAGAGCTATTTTTACAAAGGAGTAAACTGGATCAGGATAATCGATTATCCTCTGAGATAATCCATTATTTCAGTTGGGATAATTTATTATCAACTTAGATAATCAATTATTCCAGCAAGTTTTCTAGAAAACATGTTTCAATATAGGATAATCAATTATCCTGAATGATAATCAATTATCACAAAGTGGTTTTGATAAAATTGAACTTTCAGAGGATGAACCATGTGTTAGCTATCTTAGACTCTAATTTTACAGACTCCAGATTCAAAAAAATAAAACAGAGTTATTACAAGTAAGTATAAATGATTATAAGTCTTTAAGTCTTTAAATCTTTTGTTCTAGAATCATCATCAAAATTTTCAGACATCATAATCATGTAAACTCATGTATAGCTAACAAAAACTTCTGCTCTAGGAGTAATGTGCAGCTGCCTGGGGCAATGAATTTCCAATGCTTTGTAAAAGAAAGCTAATGAATCCTCAAAAGGGATCTTTGGGTGAAGATTTTTGTGCTTCATATTGGCAATTATAAACAATTACTTTTACTTTACCTCCAATTCAAGACAGCATCATAACCAGCACTATTGCCGAGTTGGTTGCTATGAAGCAAGGCTTGTTCATGGCAGGGGTCATGGTGACAGCAACCTAATCCCTGAGAATACACATTTACATTCTCTTCGTAACAGGTGCTGGTATATTAGAAGGAACCACAACCACTACATAATTCTAAGCAAATTGGTGCTTATGATGATACTATATTTTTGGAAAGAAACTGAAAACTTTCTCATAGCTTTTTGGCTTATAGTGCTGGTGAAGTAGGTCTTCTTATTGGCTGAAACAAAGTCTCGTTGCGAAGTTTCTTCTTCATCTATAGCAAGATTCTCAGACAATATTTTTTTTATCAGTATTATCAAATAACCTAAATATAGAAAGGAAGCAAATTTGTGAAAAAGAAACTATTTGTTTTTTTTTTTAATATACTTTGATTATGTAAGAAAAATTTGTTTCTAAATATAAGTGTAGTTTAGAAAAGTTTAAGATTGTATTGATTTTTTTATTAATTATATCTTTGTGTTTTTAATTATATTTATTGTAGAAAAAAGATGATAAACATATTAATAGAAAAATATTAATATATTTGCTTAAAATAATGAAAATTAATACTTATTTGATGTATGCATTACTTTTGATTAGGTTTATCAAACATGTGCTTTAAGGAACATCTTAATGAGTATTAATTAATCAATTTTTTTTTCCATTCAGACATTAAAAATATAAAATATAAATGATTAAGAAAAAAATTAAATAAATAAATTAATAAAATGAAAGCATTAATTACTTATTTTTTTCATGTTATTTAATTAATTAATTATTTTTTTTATTAATTATAATATTTATTTAATTAGTTTTTTAAACTATATTAATTTCACCATAAAATCTATATCTATTAAATTTAAAATAAAGTCAGAACATATTTTTATCTAACATTTATTCTATCATTATTATTATTATTATTATTATTATTATATATATATTTATCTTATTAATCCACAAATAATATTATATTTGAGTAATTCACAGATGAAACTATATTATAATTCTAACTAATATTTTACATAAATAATTTATAAATCATAATCAAAATGAACAATTCAAATAAAATAATCTGAATAAGTAATTTACATATAATAGTTTATATAAATAATCAGAATAATTTATATATGATATTAATTTATATATGATGTTTTATCAGAATAATTTACTAATAATATTTTGAATAAATAATCAATATTATTTAATAATATAATATTTTTATTTACTTTATAATTAAATTTTAAATTTATATTTTAAAAATTCCGTAGAATGGTTCTTTCTGTTTTATTCTCTTCTTTCTAATGATACAAGTGAATAATTTTTTTATATTTTAAATTATTTATTATGATTTTTTATTTAATTTTTTATTATTATATTTTAAAAAAATTATTTTTATTTTTAAATATAATTATAAGTAGGAAAAAATTATAGAAGAAAAAAATAAATAAGTAGATTAAGAAAATAATAATAATTAAGACATAAAATTAAATAGACAAATTAATAAAATAAAAGTAATTCATATTTTGTATAGTGTGGTTAAGAATAAAGGATAGCGAAACCCTCTTTATTTCATCATTACTGTTTTGAATTGGTATTTCTAAATTTAAATAAATAAATAAAAAAAACACAACAACGTTAGTTGGCGGCTAAACAAGAAGTAGTTGCGGGAAGTCGAGGAAGGCTGACCTTTTGGCGTTGCTTTCTGGATTGATCAAAGCATAGCCCTTTCCCAGCCAAGAAAGAAAAATTGGCTTTTGCTCTCTCTCTCTCTCTCTCTCGGTGACGTGTCCGCCATTCTCACTCAATACCTTCCTTCCCCGTTCTTCTTTCCTTCTTCTCAAACCGAAAACGAAACCTAAAACTAAAACCAAATCCATAAAATAATATTAAAAAGGTTCCCTTTTTCTTAGTCATCCACGAACCCCCCCACTCTTACCATTCATTCCCACGTAACAACCTCCCAACTCACTCACTTCACTTTTTTGGACGGTGAAACCGAACCCGGAACGATGCAAGTTTCCTCCCCGTGGTTCGGAACCTTACCTTCCAACCGTTACCCACACGTTCGCTCCGTCCCTCTGGAACCCTGTTCCACCTCAGCCTCATCGCTTTTCGCTACCGCCTACACCTACTCCCCTTGTACTAACGTGTTGTTCACGCGCCCTGATCCACCACCGTTAGCTTCTCTCTCGTTTCTCGTCTCTCAGAGAAAAGGCTTCACACTGACCCCGTTGGCACCGATCAGAAGGACGAAGAAGAGGAGAAGAGCGCTGAGTGTTTCCGCGGTGTTCGAGCGCTTCACCGAGAGAGCAATTAAGGCCATAGTGTTGTCGCAGAGGGAAGCCAAAGCGCTTGGAAGCGAGTTGGTTTACACCCAACATCTCTTGCTGGGGCTTGTGGCTGAGGAGGATCGGTCCTCCGATGGTTTTCTCGGGTCTGGTATCACCGCCGAGAAGGCACGTGAGGTTGTTCGCGGTGTCTGGCATCGGAACAGTTCCGCACGTGGCGGGGTTGGTGATGATAACAAAACAAGTGCCACGCAGGTTCCCTTTTCCGTTAACGCGAAGCGAGTGTTTGAGGCTGCGGTTGAGTATTCAAAGTCTCTGGGACACAAATTCGTTGCCCCGGAACACATGACTGTTGGTTTAGTTAAAGTAGATGATGGAAGTGTTAGTAGGGTCCTTTACAGGTATAATTCGATACCATGGATTTATTTTCCAAAGATTTTATGTTAAATTGTATTTGCAGTTCTTGTTATTATGAAAATTTGCTGATACACTATTAGTAATTATGATCTGATGCGGTCGAAAAGACAAACGGAGGCATGAGATTTTAATCTATGGTTGCATTCACGGTTGCTGTTCAGTAAAAAAAAAAAATTATTTGGTAGAAAACTAGGGACGAATGTGACTTATGTGGCCACGGTATATGCAAGATCTATTTATAGAATTAAAAATATGTGTGACTATAATCTTTATTAATATAAAACTATCTATAACCCTCATAGTTGTAGTTTCTTGATATCTAATGTTGTAGAAAATCGCAGACAAATGTGGAATGACACTTTAATATTTGCAGGATTAAATATGTGAGGCTATAACTTTTTTTGCTTTTGATGTTGGTAGTTTACAAATATGATTTCAGATTGGGGACAAATGGAAACCAGTTGGCAGCTGTGGCATTCTCCAGATTACAAAAAGAAATTGCTAAAGATGGCAGAGAACCTAATATGGTGTCCAAGGGGGTGCCTAAAAATTCGCTTTCTAGAAAAGGTTCTGATGCTGTAGCCTCTGACACAACCGGAGGTAATAAAATAGTGTATAAGTCTGTTGTTTTGTACTTTTGTGTTTGAAGGCCGAGGACTGAGAATAATGTTTTGTCATCATTTTCTGGTTTTCAGAGGAGAGCGCTCTATCACAATTTTGTGTGGATGTCACTGCCCGTGCCAGTGAAGGACGAATCGATCCAGTTGTTGGGCGAGAAGTTGAAGTTCAGAGAATAATTCAAATACTTTGCAGGAAAACAAAAAGCAATCCCATTCTTCTTGGTGAAGCTGGGGTTGGAAAAACTGCCATTGCGGAGGGGCTGGCACTTCGCATTGCTAAGGCAGATGTTTCTCCCTTTTTATTGGTATGCATGCGACTTGCTAAATGGTTGATGTTTCTAAAGTTTCTTTTCTTCTGCTCTGCCCTTGTGTATTTCTATGTGCTTTATGCTATGTGAATTTACTCTCTGCTTTGTGTTTCTGCAGACAAAGCGTGTGATGTCCTTGGATATAGCCCTATTAATGGCTGGAGCAAAAGAAAGAGGAGAGCTAGAGGAACGGGTTACAAAGTTGATAAAAGACGTAATAAAGTCAGGTGAATACATTGTAATTGTTGGAGATTTCACATCAACCAGAGAGTGGATGCAAATCTCATCTTACAAACTAATTTTGTGAGGTTGAATTAGGCTTAAAGTCCACTTTTTAAGTGTAACATAAAAGAATGTATAAGAGTTATTAGATGAACACATGCTTGATGTGCTAGAAGAGAAGTATTTTAGTTCTCACTGATTATTCTTGAAATGCAGGTGATGTCATTCTCTTCATTGATGAAGTTCATATACTTGTTGAGGCAGGCACAGTTGGGAGAGGGAATAAGGGATCTGGCCTTGACATAGCTAATTTACTTAAACCTGCACTTGGAAGGGGTCAATTTCAGGTGATTATTAGTTAATTCTGTTCTGAATGACTCCTGAAGATAAACACATTTTCAGTTTGAGGCTGGTGTAAACAATTATTAATAACATATAAGATTAAGGTTGGAAATCAAAATATATGGTTACTGTGTACTACCGAGCTACAGACTTCTCTTATCTCTTTTTCAAAGTAATTGTACTGATTAAGGTCATCAATTTACATTTGGGAACTGCAATTCAAAGTTGAGATTAGTGAGAAAGTGTCATTATGAACACTTGGGAGGTTATCATACTTGTTGTTAGACTCGCCTTGGATCATATCATATGTCCTCTCAAATGAATGGCCATGTAGATCACTTGGAGCTGGAAGAGATATGAATCTTAAGAGTGTTAATTATCTTGCTTTTCAGTAAGTTATGGAATCACAAGGTTATATGTATAGAGAATTTCTTTCATTAAGAGGGCAACCTGTTACTGAATTGAGGTTAAAGTTGTATGTTCAATGATGCTTGTCTTCCTCAGTTTCTCTAATTTCTATCAAGCTCGTGTCCTGATAGGTTTTATCTTAGATGCACTAAGGATTGGTGCATATGAACTTCTTGTAGGAGTGATTTGTATCAAGTTTAATAAATTAAAAGGTGACATGGATGTCAGAGTGCAATGCACGGACAAGGCAGGTTGGTCAGATTTTGCATTTCACTCATTCTTAAGTCATGAGATAACCAAGATTTTTTATCTAACTTTCTACTTTATAAAACCTTTATCATCACTTGTGTGCACTTGAGGAAACCATAAAAAATGTTAATATGATTTTCTAAGGATCACAATTTGACCCCCTTCCCCGAACTTGTGACTTTTCCTGCCACCCTTAGTCAAAACTATGGTAGCTAACTTTATGATTACCCGAAATAATTATATTCAATAATGCTAAGACTATGTTGAGTGCTACGGATGGGGCTGCTGCTTTGCTTGGTTGATAAACAATAATATTGAATAACTTATTTGCTGTTAATGCTTTTGTTCTGTTAAAATTTTCATTTTTCCTTTTTGCTGGGATGGGATTCATGGTGAGGAGCACTTCTGAATTTAAACTCTTTGGGTGAAACAACTGTGAAGAGAAATAGTTCTGACCTCTGATGAATTTTCCTTTGTAGTTTATCCATTTTAGGTGCATTTGGTATGTGCTTCGAAGTTATTATTTTTGTATAATATGGGATAATCCTTTTTCTTCTTAATAATCAAGAGTGATATTACAATATATATACACACCATAGCTTGTCTTCTATTCATAACTTCATCTTCTTTGCAGTGTATTGCATCAACAACCATAGATGAATACAGACTCTATTTTGAAAAAGATACAGCATTGGCTCGACGGTTTCAACCTGTTTGGGTTGATGAGCCAAGTGAGGTTGTACTCCCTATTAATATCTATGTCATTATATGCCAGCATTTTAATCATAATTTTATTTCTTATTAGATTGCATATTTCAATACATAGGTTGATGCAATTAAGATTCTTACGGGCCTTTGTGAGAAATATGAGGCATATCACAAATGCAGATATACAGCAGATGCTATAAAGGCTGCAGTTGAATTGTCAGCAAGATACATAGTCGATAGGTATCTACCTGATAAAGCTATTGACCTCATAGATGAAGCAGGAAGCAGAGCTCGTATTGTTGCATTTAAGAAGAAAAAAGAGCAAGAAACTGGCATTCTTTCTAAGTGCCCAGCTGATTACTGGCAAGAAATTAGAGCAGTCAAGTCCATGCATGAAATGGTAACGACATTCATTGCTTCCAGTATTTTCCTGTTGCTTGTATCAGCTGGTCATAATTTTATTTTATGATGACATTTCTTTCGCACTGTTTCAGGAGAGCAAGCTTAAATACTATGGTGCTTCCAGCATTGAAGATAACAATGAACTCATACTCGATTCATATTTATCTTCTCCAACTACTGATGATGAGTATGTTACTTGACCTCATAATCGGAGGGCATTTATTTATGTGTGCCTGGATTTGATGTCTGACTGACTAACATGTTTCGTTTTCTCTTTAGACCAATAGTAGTTGGGCCAGAAGATATAGCAGCAGTTGCTTCCCTCTGGTCAGGAATTCCTGTTCAGAAGCTCACTGCTGATCAACGAATTCTTCTGTTAGACCTTGAGAATCAACTTCGTAAACGTGTGATTGGACAAGGGGAGGCTGTTGCTGCCATTTCTAGAGCTGTGAAGAGATCTCGGGTTGGCCTTAAGGATCCTAATAGACCAATAGCTGCCATGTTATTCTGTGGTCCCACTGGGGTTGGGAAAACAGAACTTGCAAAATCTTTGGCTGCATGTTACTTTGGATCGGTAAGACATTACACAGTAAAATATTTAGTGAAGTTGGTTGTTTTTATTCTTTTTAGTGATCTGAAGTGATGACGTTGTGGTCAGCACATGTACCACTTACTGTTCATTTCAATAGTTAGCCTTTGATAAATTGTTTCAGGAGGCAGCCATGGTACGATTAGACATGAGTGAATATATGGAACGGCATACAGTGAGCAAATTGATAGGATCGCCCCCAGGTTATGTTGGTTATGGAGAGGGTGGGGTTTTAACAGAAG